GATACATGGTAGATTTAGTCACCAGTGATAGTTTTTGGAGAGAGAAAAAAAAAAAACCGTCCACATTAGGGCTGATCAAAATGTTATTCCTCCTCCACAACCCCTTCCATTTTAACCAAAATCTCTACAAGTAATTTTAAATAAGCAAGTAAATATTAGTAGCGTCACTGTTGAAACTAAGAATTTTCTCATGGGATGTGCCAAACTTCTTCCATGGTGTGAAACCTCCTGAGGGAGATAGGACTCTCCTGAGATGCCTGGAGAAAAGTCGCTAAAAAGTTCCCGCTTATAGTGGGCCATGGAAATGGTTAAAAAAACCCTCCTTGTAGTAACTAATCTTAGGTTTATTCCACACTGTATTTATATTGTTAAACCAATGAATATATTTGCTGCCTTTGAAAACAAAAACGGTATGCTTAATTACATTAGTGCAAAGGAAGAGAAAAATTGCTATTTTAGTATTTGATGAAATTTTATCACACATGACAGGTTAGATGTAACAAAGCTACAGACCTACAAATCACAAGTAATTGTATAGGGCATAAAGTTCTTGAATAACTTGAAAATTAATATTATTAATAAATAAACTTATTCATCAGGTGGTTGGGTACATCTAAGCATTTCAACTGAAATTCAAGAGAGTAAGCCACGAATCCTCTGGACTTGAGTCTTGTTTTAGGCAGTGACTCTGACATTTATAGCATTAGAATGTAAGGCACTGATAAAATTTGTATGGATGAAAAATGGGATGCTATTTCATAAGTTTTCCTTGGTTACTCCTTAAACTGTTCAGAGAAACCACTTCTTCAGGTAAAGAAAATGAATACAGTTGCTATACTGTAAGGACACACAAATAAAGTTATTATATTTCTAAATGAAAAGCCTTCTCCTGCGTAATTTTGGAGAGGTTAAATACTACCTGTAAAATAATTCCTATTTAAAAATTGTGACAACTGAAACCCCTAAATGAGAATATTTCTGTTGATTTACTTTTGGGTAAAATTCATTAAATCTAATACCTAACTTCATAGAACTTTCATGTTTAATCTAAGCAATGTAAAAAAATTACCACGCCCTAGCTGGTTTAGTTTAGTGGCTAGAGCATCAGCCTGAGGACTGAAGGGTCCTGGGTTTGATTCCGGTCAAGGGTATGAACCTCAGTTGCAGGCTCCTCAGGGCTCATGCAGGAGGCAACCAGCTGATGTGTTTCTCTCACATCAATATTTCTCTCTGTCTTTCCCTCTCTCTTAACAATCAATGGAAAAATATCCTTGGGTGAGGATTAAAAAACAAAAACAAAAAACAACACCTTAATTTTTATAAGTTGAGAGATAATTCCAAAACAAATATATAAAAACAAGTTACTAAAAAAGGTACAAAACTTGCATTTTGACCTATTATGGAATACTATGTTTTGAAATCAATATGTCAACTGTGATTTGCAGTATAAGCTGAAATGATATTTTTCATAGTTCATGATGGGTGTGATTTACATAAGGAGACTAGAAAATCTTCAAAAAGGGAATGAACATGATAAAAGCCTCAGGTTTTAAAATTACAGTTGAATTTTTTCAAATAGCAATTAACATATCAATTACATAGGACAGAACATATCTACAAAATATTCTAAAGCACAAGAGAGAGGTCATATTTTTATTTCAAAGTAATGTATTCAGGATAATACAGGTCAAGTGTAAAAATGAGATTGTTTCTACATTTAAAAGGAGACTGAGTCTATAACTGTAAACTATATCACTTAGTCACAATGGCCATATAATTCAACAAAACATTTTACATACAGAAATTCTAAAACATATTGAAATTATTTTCACAATTGCCTACTTTGATTTGTTTCCAATTTATTTTTTAAAAAGTAATACAAGTGATACCATTATAATTATTTAATAGGAAAGGAGTTAAGGGAAGACTAGATAATATAGGCATGCCATTTATACAGCTTTGCTAGAACGCTGTCGTTTAAGCCTCTCCAAGCCTGTTCCCCAATAACCAATGGGGGGAGGGACTGAACAAAGGCAGTTTGGATGCATGCCCAGCGAGGTCTGGGAGGTCTGGGTGACATGGGAAGGTGCTTAGCTGTCAGTCACACCTGGAAGCGAGTCAGTGGCCGGAACAGGCATGGCCACAGCAAAGGCGTGAGACCTGAATAGCTAAACTCCTAGACAAAAGGAGTTTCCTCTCGTGGCTCCCTTGCCTGCTGTTTGTGCCTGACCCTTGTGCAAAGGGCCATGGCCCTGCACTCACCCACATGGTCCACGGCCATGTGGGCTCCCCATGGAATAACGGACTCTAACCAGCCTGATGCTCTGCCAGAACCAGCTGCAACACGGTCGTTCCGCACGCTGGCTTTGCTTCTGGCTCTATTGGGACCCCAGCGGCACCTTTCTCAGGACTGGCTGAAGGACATGGGAACTGTGGAGCCCAAGGAAGGTAACTCCCTGCAAATAGAGCCTTTTTCCGCACCCCGTTCTTCTGTGGGGGCTCCTGACAATGCTTATAGCAGAAGTACCCCAAGAACCCCATTCCCACGCGTGACAGGGCAATCTGGCCCACTAATTTCCCTGGGAACACCAGGTACTTTATGGAATGACTGCAAAGTACACAACAGAGGAAAAGGGCTATGGGTACAAATATGAAAAAAAAATTCCATTAGTGTTCCCTGTTACAGAGAAACATTATTTTAAAAGTGCTCATATTTTTACTGCAAATTGTAGCAGAATATATTTAAGTATTAGACAAACCACTTAGTTGAAAAATTTTGCAGGATAACAAGTGAAATATTTTAATAATTTTAGATCATTAGAATGCTCTATAGGTCAGTCAATACACAGATGACATACATCCTAATATATATATACCTAAGGTAACTCTGGGTACATGTAAATATTCAGATTCTGGTTACTTATATTTGATATAACAACTAAAATAGGAAGAGAAAGATAAGGAAGAGAAAGACAGATTTTTACTAGAATTCTATTTAAACCAGACACTTTAAAGTTGTGAGTGTGTGTATGTGTGTAAACGGGGGCGTCAACTATTTTTTAAGTACTTTAGGGAAAGATATAAGTAGAAACTAGGTTTCATCTCAACAACAACAACAAAAAAACATAGGTAGCATTGCTGTGCTTTAGATTTAAAATTTCTCTTAAAAGGCTAGGTTTGCTAAAAAGCTTCCTAAAAATATGCACTTGTTTTTACTCTTAATTTGATATTCAACCAGAAAAATTAAAAAAACTATTAATCCAAAGTATATTTTCAAAATTTCTACAAGAAATTACATTACATCAAACCAAACTACAACTTCAAGAAGATCAAATTTAGGAGACCACGTAGTGTGAAAATTTCCTCTTCCTCTGATCTGCCCAACACAGTCTCTATCTCAAGAGCAATATACTCAGTCTTATAATTGACTTATTTCAGTACACTGAAGGTTTCATAACCTGCCATGTTAGTTCAATTTTACATAAAATCGCAATACTGAAATTGGTCACAGTAGTGGATGTCAAGATTCCCACTGTACTAGAAGAATGGCTTACTGTTTATAAAATATAACAATGCTTAAGAAACAAACCAAAAAAACTCCATGAACCCCCTTAGAAAACAACACAATTCTCACGTGAAAAAAAAAAAAAGAAAGAAAGCTTTTGAATAAATCAAAACAAAAATACTGGGAGTTTAATATTAAAAAATCTCCTAATTTAAATGCAATTTGTCAAAAGTATTTCACATTCTTTAGAAAACATGGTTTTTAAATAAGGCCTTCTGTTTTTATCCAAAACTTTATCATAACTTTTAAATTATGTGTAAAAAAATGTATACTTTAAATTTTATAGTGTTTTTTTTAAAGCTATAGGTTTTACAACTAAAGAGAATACGTACTTAAGGTCTTTTTTTCTTTAACTGCTTAAAAACACACACAGTTCAGGCTATTCACCTAAAACTTTGCCCTAAATCCAAATAATTCATTCCAGCAGCAGATGAATCACTCATTCTAAGAGGTTTCCTCAAATGTCACATTCTCCTTGAACCTTCCTGGACATTCCAGCAGATATTAGTTGTTCTTTTCTGTGTGTTGCACTCCTATATCCTTTTGAGTTTCTCTCTCTCATCATCCCCACAGTATGCCTCGTGGTTCATTTTTTACGGGTCTCGTTCCTCCGCTAAACTCTATTCTCTCGCGGGTGGAAATTGAATGACAGCCATCTCTGCATCTCAGCAGATGACACACAGTAGGCACTCGATGCCTGTTGAACAAATGGAGAAAGGGGAGAACAGGGCATAAAGGTAAACTGGGGGTGCCCAACTGCTATTTGGATTTGTTTCCTAAAGTTTACGCTAAAGTAAAAATGTTTACTGTTAATCATTAACAGATACACATGAAAATTAGTCTGCTTGTATTACCCATGGAGAAACAATACATTGGGAGCAAAAGCCTTCTGATAATGATTAAAAGAAATAGAAATATGTATGAAAAGGAGGAAATATTTAGCTTTTTTTTTTTTTTTTTTTTTTTTTTTTTTTTTTACAGAGAGGAAAGGAGAGAGATAGAGAGTTAGAAACATCGATGAGAGAGAAACATCGATCAGCTGCCTCCTGCACATCTCCTACTGGGGATATGCCTGCAACCCAGGTACATGCCCTTGACCGGAATCGAACCTGGGACCTTTCAGTCCGCAGACCGACGCTCTATCCACTGAGCCAAACCGGTTTTGGCAAGCTTTGTTTTTGTTGTTGTTGTTTTTTGGGGGAGGAGGGTTTGGTCAAAATGTCCCTTAGTCATTGAATCCTATTAAAGAGCTTAAAAGTAGTTAAAATTTCACATATTAAACCAAGCAGATTTGGTTAGAGGGGAAAAAAGGCTTTCAGAGATTACTAAAATGAGTTAACAGTGCAAATACTAGGTTGCTTGTTTCATGAAATCTTACCATGTGCTTTTTTTCTTCCTTAAAAGGAAAATTTTAAAACACTCTCCAGTTTTAACGCAAACAAAAGATAAATATTTATGAAGGAAAACAGATTCCACAGCATTCCATACAGATTTCCAAACAGTCTGATGATTCACAACAGGCGTCCATGATGCCACAGTCCATGTCACAAGGGCAGTTGCAGTCATCCCCCACTTCATCTCCGCAGCAACAGCAGCAGGCCTCTGAGGTACAGATGCCACAGGAAGCTTGTCCCAGGACGATGTTGCAGAGGGTCAGGAATTCACAGAACAAGCAGGCGAGGATGCAGTGGACACAGCAATCTTCATTTTCAATCGGGAAGAGGCCGCAGAGTGGGGGAAAAGGGAGGAACACAAAATACAGAAATCATCAAGAGCCTGAATAATAAGTTGGTCAAAATAAGTAATCCAGAACCCAATGATATGCTTTCCTTGAAAGCTCAAAAATAAACTTAAGTTAAATTCTAGATGAACGAACTTTAGAACTAAGACTCCATATGAGAAAAAAAAAAAAAGGTTGTAGCTGTCTATACACGCACGAGTGGATGTGGGTGAGATTATTACTGTCAAACACTATGCAACAACCCTTGGTACTAGATTCCCCCCTTCTGTACATCCATCTTCCCTGTATCCTACTGCTCTCTATAACAGAGGCTAAAATGATTCCATGACATTGAAGTCTTTCAGAAATAAAAAATTCCTTCAACTGCTCCACTGACCTGCTCCAAAAATTGAGAGAAAAAAAGGCAGATTCAGTATATTATTGGATAATGGAATCAATAGTTAAATTGGAATCTATTCAACTGGGATCAGCATGTTTTACTGGCCAATAAAACTGACTCAATTTCATGGTATCAAATATTTTTAGTTTCACAAGAACTAAAGAAAAACTGAGGCTTCTGTTTAGGTCCAACCATTGTTCCTGGAATCCAAGTTCTTCTGCCCATTTCTAACAAAGGATTTGTCCCTTAACAACTGTGAATGACGACACAGGAATGCCACTTTCCCGCTGCCAGTGTGGCAAAGTCTTTGCATTTCTATTATTTCCTGAGACATCTCTAATGATCCCTCTTTAAAACAATCTTTAGCAAACTTCACCAACTGATATAAAAAGGCCAGAAATCAAAGAGATCATAATCTAGAGATTTCATACCCCATATTCTAAACTTCTTTCCTTTAGAATAGTGATTTTCAATCTTTTTCATGTCATCGCTTACATAAACTACTTACTAAAATTCTGCCGCACACCAACAAATACATTCTTTTGCTGATCTGATTAAAAAGTAGGTATGATTTTGATTCATTCACACTGGACAGCTATTGTTGTGTTGGTTGTTGTCATTTTTTTTTTTTTTTTTTACAACCTAAGGGAAGAAAAGTCAGTGCCTCTGACTAGTCAGGTATTGCATGTTTTAAAAATCCCTGCAGCGCACTGGTTGGAAATCACTGCTTTAGAGTTTTGTGGCAAGTGAGAGGAGCAGCTGAAGAAATTTCTATTTCTGGGGGACTTTAACATGCGCCATAAAATTATTTAAGGCCAATGTTATAGGACATTTTTCCAATTTCAGAAATACTTGTGCATTTTTACCAGGACTATTTCTGGGTTTGTGTGTTGTTGTTGGTTGGTATTTTGTTTCACTTTTTCTGTATTTTATACAATAAGAGCTTGAGGAGGGGATTCTGCTTCCAGCAGCAGCAATGCGGAGCCGCCCCACCCCATCCCAGTCACATCCATTATGTTTCAGTACTGGCTTGAAAATTGAGTGCCTCTGAAGGAGTTTCAGGAAATTGTGTGACCATCCCATAATAAGCTCCCCAACTCCTTGAATATGCCCGTTCCTCTATAGTCTCTCACTTCATAGTCTCTAACTTTGTAAAAGTGGGGAATGTGCAAACACAAGGTCATATTCTAAATGCCAGGTGGCAAAGTAGGGAGGGTCCGAAAAGAATTCAAAAGAGAAACTCCAGAGCTGTTTGTAGAATTTAAGGCTTCAAATAACGCCACAACCTTTCCTTTCATTCCTGGGCCCACTCTGACATACAATGGTCTGTACAACAACTAGAAAAAAGATCACAGAGTTGTGAGGGTGTGCAAGTTTCTCTCCGTCTTCCCTAACGTTTTAGTAGTAGCCGATCCTATCAGGAGAACGTGGAGAGCACCCACATGAATCCACATTCATAACCTTGGAAAGTACTGGGTTTCTACAGCATGTCTGTGGTTTATCTCTTTATAAACTTTTATCCGAATATCTAAAGTTATATGTCTCTGTACATTTGAGCTTTTATAGGAATCATATTATTATTATCATTTGTAAAATATTTGAAATGTTATAAAGAGCTAGCTTTATTATCATTATTATTATTATGAAAATAGTGTTGAACTGGCAGTAAGCCACACTTGTGATCTTAACCTTCTTTTCCTCTGCTGGATGCTGTATTTCAAGACTGAAAGAAAGAAGCTACAAAAACTCACTTGAGCCCTAACCGGTTTGGCTCAGTGGATCAGCCTGTGGACTGAAGGGTCCCAGGTTCGATTCCAGTCAAGGGCATGTACCTTAGTTGCAGGCACATCCCCAGTAGGAAGTGTGCAGGAGGCAGCTGATCAATGTTTCTCTCTCATTGATGGTTCTAACTCTCTATCCCTTTCCCTTCCTCTCTGTAAAAAAATCAATAAAATATATTTTAAAAAAAAACTCACTTGACACTGAAGAACCTTTAATTGAGTAATTTTAAAACAACACCATAGAATTCCTGTGAATAGCATTTTTGTTCAAAAGTATGTGTTTCAGATTTACCCCTGTTGATTAATGTAGCTACAGTCCACCTATTTCCCAGGTGTATAGTATTCCATTGTTCTAATGTATCATCATTTATTTATCCATCATACTATTTATGAATACTTGGTCACTGCCACTGTTTTGGTATTCTAAACATGACTGTTTGAAATAATTCTGTGCAAATCTCTTAGAGCACAAATGCTAAGTAAGCAGCAGAATAATGGCTGGGTCACAGGGTGTGCATATGTTTAATCTTATTAGGTAATTCCAAATTTGTTTCCAAATGACTGCTCCAAAATGTATTCCCACCAATCAAGTATGAAAATGCTCACAGTTCCATCTCCTTGACAATAGTTGACACTGGCATAATCTCATACATGCCAATTAGTTGAGTAGGAATGGGTGTCCCACTGTGGTTTTACTTATGTACTAAATTTGGACACCTTTTCATGTGTCCGTGCCATTCGTGTTTCCTCTTCTTTGAAATGGATGTTCAGCGTGTTCATGCTTTCCACTCACTTTTCTATTGATTTGCCTCTTTTTTTCCGCATTGATTTGTAAAGTTTTTAATAATCAAGATATCAGGCCTTTGTCAAATATAATTGTCCTTTATGTGGCTTTCTCAGATGACAAGAAACAGATGAGTTAATTTTTAGACCATGAGAAATTGAAGTTATCAATAGAAATCCAAATTGTTTTGTAATTAGCTGGAGATATGGGGCTGGATGGCTGAGGAAGTGAAGGGACAAATGGACAAGTCTGACAAATTAGTGAGAAGAAGAGGAGGCATTACGAAGATTTGGGAGCATAAATAAATAAACAGTTTCTGTGTCTGATTCAGAACAAGGGAGCCAGCCACGCCTATAAACAGAAAGGAAGAAGACACCAGTAAGTAATCAGGAGGAACAAACTGAGTGTTATTGGTGTGAAATCAACAGTCTTGGATGAAGAGAGGTGGAACTGGTATTCCAAACTAAACAACTCATTCCATTCATAGGATATATTACTTAGAAAATTAAAATATCTTCCAGATTGTAGACAATAATGACAGCTGTCATACAGAAATCAGAAGTCCTAAGCCAAGAATAAAATCTCTCCAAATTCCTACATTTAGCCAACAGATCTACAAGTTAATTTAGTCTGTTACTGTCTTTGTATTTTTAGTAAACAAAGAAATGTTTTTTAAAAAGTTCTTAGCTCTATATAGATCAAACACTCCTTTTCTAGCCTGTCTTCTATAACACATGATTTCTATCACTAGTAGGTTTGAGTGTGGTTTACATACACAGGAAACCTAGCATTAATGAAGAAAAAGTATTTATTGGCTGTTGTCAGAATTAAAATAGGTGTTATCTTGGGGCAGTGTTTTCATCACTCTTTCATTAAAAAAAAAAACCACAAAACTATTTAAGAAACTTACTTTATACTGAACTCTGTTTTAAGGTCTTTATAAATATTAATTCATTCAATTCCAATAATATTCCTAAGCAGCAGTTATCCCCATTTTATCAATACAGAGAAAGATTTATAGGAAATTTATGAAATTTATCCAAGTCATAGAGGCAATAAGTAGCAGCTGCCTCTCGTAAGGCTGGGTCACTCCTAATACTCACTTAATCTTCCTAGGGGGGGACATCAGTTATAAATCCAAAACATTCTGCTGATTTGTCTTGTTGATTTGTTTTTGGCCTTGAGTCCCTTTTCCTTTCTAAAGATGATTCTGAATTTCAGTTTTAATGAAGAGTTGATAGTAAATGTTAACCTTCACCAAGTAAGAGTAAAGTTGATGAATTGCTGCCAGTCACATTGTCAAAACAGACATAAGAAAGAGATGTCACAATCAAAAGAAAGAACACTGTCTAATTAAAATATAAAAATTAAGGCCTACAGTTATATGAACAAGAACAATGTTGCTATTACATAGGAACTCTAGTGGAAAAACTAGAGTGGTAAAAACGACAGAGGTCTCAAAATAATAAGCTCTTTATGTAAATATTAAAACTTACAAAAAATAGACAACTTATCTAAACACACCTCCTATATAATTACTGGAAAAGCACTTGGGCTACTGTGAAAAACCAAATCTATTAACAGGTCCCTAAAAAAAAAACCACAAACCAAAATGCATTCTAGAGATCAAAGTGATATGAAACAAAGTGAATTTACAGAGACATCTACCATAGACTTTTATTTCCTGTACTTTATAAGTAGAAAACACCAAATATAACAACCAAAAGGAAAAAATGAATCCCTAATATTATCAAATCAATTAATAATCTGACTTTGCATTCCTTGCCAGAAACATCTTTCTTTTCATCTGTGTTCTAGAAAGAGTTTATTTGTGACTTGGGGTAATAAAAGTTAAATAAACTAAGAAAAAAATAGTTGTTACAGTTTCTACCACCTCCATCCCCACCAACCCCAGCAGAATCAAAAATCATAAAAGGCATTAAGATGTTGGTTTTATTTGAAGCAAAGAGAGGATTATAAGAATTATCAAACTAAAACTTAAATAGAGAAACAAAC